AGGTGACTGGTGCGATTTGAGATTTTTTTGAGGTATTTTTATGTCTTTATCTTCATTTTTATATTTTCGGACGTTTTCAAATTAAAATTTGATATTTTTCGGGCAGTCACGAAAAAAGGTAAAATTTTGATATGTTATTCTTATCGATATTCTAAGGTGACTGGTGCGATTCGAGAATTTTTTGAGGTGTTTTTATGTTTTTTTATCATTTATTATATTTTTCGAACGTTTACGAATTAAAATATTTGATATTTTTCGGGCAGTCACAAAAAAATGTAAAATTTTGATATTTTTTTACTATCATTATTCTAAGGTGACTTGTGCGATTTGAGAATTTCTTGTGGTGTTTTTATGTCTTTTTTCTTGATTTTTATATTTTTTGGACATTTTCGAATTAAAATTTTTGATATTTTTTGGGTAGCCATGAAAAGATATAAACTTTTGATACTCTATTCGTATCGATATTCTAAGGTGACTGGTGCGATTCAGGAATTGTTTGAGGTATTTTTATGTCTTTTTTTTATATTTATACTTTTTGGGTAGTCACGAAAAAATGTAAAATTTTGAAATTTAATTCGTATCGATATACTAAAGTGACTGGTGCTATTCGGGATTTTTTTGAGGTGTTTTTATCTTTGTTTCTTGATTTTTATACTTTTCGAACGTTTACGTATTAAATTTTTTGATATTTTTCGTGCAATCACGTAAAAATGTAAAATTGATATTATATTTGTATCCATATTCTAAGGTGACCTGTTCGATTCTAGAATTTTTTGAGGTATTTATATGTCTTTTTCTTGTTTTTTTTATATTTTTGGGACGTGTACGAATTAAAAGATTTGATTATTTTCAGGTAGTCAAGAAAAATAGGGAAATTTTTATATTTTATTCGTATCGATATTCTAAGGTGGTTGGTGCGATTTCGAGAATTTTTTGAGGTGTTTTTATGTTTTTTTCTTGATCTTTTTATCATTTTCGGACGTTTACGAATTAAAATATTTGATATTTTTTGGGCACTCACCAAAAAATGTATAATTTTGATATTTTTTTCGTATCGATATTCTAAGGTGACTAGTGCGATTCAGGAATTTTAGAGGTGTTTTAATGTCTTTTTCTTTATTATTATATTTTTCGGACGTTTACGAATTAAAATTGTTGATATTTTTCGGGCAGTCACGAAAAAATGTTTATTTTGATATAATATTTGTATTGATATTCTAAGGTGAATGGTGCGATTCAGGAATTTTTTGACGTGTTTTTATGTCTTTTACTTGATTTTTTATATTTTTTACGGACGTTTTACAAATTAAATTTTTTGATATTTTTCGGGCAAACACGATAAAGTTAAACTATGATATTTTATTCGTATCAATATTCTAAGATTACTGGTGCAATTCGGGAATTTTTTGAGGTGTTTTTATGTCTTTTCCTTGAATTTTATATTTTCCGGTCAAACACGATAAAGTTAAACTGTGATATTTTATTCGTATTAATATTCTAAGATTACTGGTGCGATTCGGGAATTGTTTGAATTGTTTTTATGTATTTTTCTTGATTTTTACATTTTTCGGACGTTTACAGGTTAATTTTTTTTTATATATTTCGGGCAGTAATGAAAAAATGTAATATTTTGATATTTTATTCGTATCGATATTCTAAGGTGTCCGGTGCGATTCAGAATTTTTTTTAGGTGTTTTTATGTCTTTTTCTTGATTTTTATATATTTCAGATGTTTACGAATTAAAATTTTTGATATTTTTTGGGAAACGAAAAAAATGTAAAACTTAGATACTTTATTGTATCGATTTCTAAGGTGACTGGTGCGATTCAGGAATTTTTTGAGGTATTTTTATGTCGTTTTCTTGATTTTTATATATTTCGATCCCTTACGAATCAAGGTTTTTGATATATTTGGGGATGTCACACAAAAATATAAAATTTCGATACTCTATTCGTATCGATATTCTAAGGTGACTGGTGTGATTTGGGAATTTTTTGAATTGTTTTATGATTTTTTGTTGATTTTTACATTTTTCGGATTGTTACGAATTAAAATTTTTATTATTTTTCGGGCAGTCACGAAAAAATATAAAAATTTTGATATCGTATTTGTATAGATATTCTAAGGAGACTGGTGTGATTCGAGAATTTTATGAGGTGTTTTTACGTCTTTTTCTTGATTTTTATAATTTTCGGACGTTTAAGAATTAAAATTTTTGATATTTTTCGGGTAGTCACTATAAAATTGGACATTTTGATATTTTACTTGTATAAATATTCTAAAGTGGCTGGTCCGATTAAGAAAATTTTTGAGGTGTTTTTATGAGTTTTTCTTGATTGTTATATTTTTCGGACGTTTGAGAATTAAAATTTTTATTATTTTTTGGGCAGTCACGAAAAAATATTAAAATTTTGATATTGTATTTGTAAATTTTTGAGGTTTTATTATGTCTTTTTCCTGATTTTTATACTTTTCGGACGTTTACGAATTAATTTTTTTATATTTTCTCGACAGTCACGAAAAAATGTAAAATTTTGATACTTCATTCGTATGGATATTCTAAGGTGACTGGAGCGATTCGAGAATTTTTTGAGGTAATTTTATGTCTTCTTCTTGATTTTTATATTTTTCGTATGTTTACGAATTAAAATTTTTGATTTTTTTCGAGCAATCATTAAAATAGTTAAATTTTGATATTTAATTCGTATCTATATTCTAAGGTGACTGATGCGATTCGGGAATTTTTTAGGTGTTTTTATGTCTTTTTCTTGATTTTTATATTTTTCGGACGTTTAGGAATTAAAATTTTTGATATTTTTTGGGTATTCACGAAAAAATTTAAAATTTTAATATTCTATCCGTATCAATATTCTAAGGTAATTAGTGCGATTTGGGAATTTTTTGAGGTGTTTTTTGTGTGTTTTTCTTGATTTGTTTATTTCTAAGACGTTTACGAATTTAATTTTTTGATATTTTACGTGCAGTCATGAAAAAATTTAAAATTTTGATATTTTATTCGTATCGATATTCTCAGGTGACAGGTGCGATTCAGGAATTTTTTGAGGTGTTTGTATGTCTTTTTCTTTATTTTTATATTTTTCAGACGATTACGAATTTAAATTTTTTGATATTTTTTGGGCAGTAACAAAAAAATGTAAAATTTAGATATTTTATTCTTATCGATTTCTAAGTTGACTGGTGCGATTCAGGAATTCTTTGAGGTGTTTTTATGTCTTTTTCCTGATTTTTGTATATATCAAACGTTTATGAATTAAACTTTTTGATATTTTCTTGGGCTGTCACAAAAAATTGTAAAATTTGGATATCTTATTCGTGTCAAAATTCTAAGGTGACTGGTGTGATTCGGGAATTTTTTTAGGTGTTTTTACGTCTTTTACTTGATTTTTATCTTTTTCAGACGTTTACGAATTAAAAATTTTAATATTTTTTGGGCAGTCACTAAAAAATTAGAAATTTTGATATTTTATTTGTATCGATATTCTAAGGTGGTTGGTCCGATTCGAGATTTTTTGAGGTGTTTTTACGATTTTTTCTTGCTTTATATATTTTTCAGACGTTTATAAATTAAAATTTTTATTATTTTTCGGGCAGTCACGAAAATGATGAAAATTTTGATATCGTATTTGTATCGATATTCTAAGGTGACTGGTGTGATTCAGGAATTTTTTCAGGTATTTTTACGTCTTTTTCTTGATTTTTATATTTTTCGAACGTTTTCGAATTAAATTTTTTTGATATTTTTCGAGCAATCACGAAAAAATTGAAAATTTTGATATTTTATTTGTATCGATATTCTTAGGTGGCTGGTTCGATTCGGGAATTTTTTGAGGTGTTTTTATGTCCTTTTCTTGATATTTATATTTTTCGAAAATATCTCTCTAAACTAAGAGCTCCAGCCCCAAGCCTAACGACTACAGTACCAACGGTTAAGGGAACCACCAGAATGGCGCGTGAGCAACCGGTAGGGACCTTCTGGCCGCCGGACCAGTCCCAACAGGGGCGCCTTGATCAGACGAACAAAACCCAACAAGAATCGCCCTCTAATTCATCCTATAACTCCATGAATTCGTGAATCAATGAGGCGATGAACTGTGCGATTCCTGAGAGAGAATTGGCTGGCATTCGAAAAGTTATTTCCCCAGATCGCGATAGGTTTATTCGTGGAAAGCTGTTATGTGTGAATGATTCTACAAATCAAGGGCTACAACATACTACAAAATCAGACGACTCCACCTTGCCAATCGCGAGATCTGGAGAAGTGATTTCTAGGAAAATCATCGCAGTATTGCCCGGATTGCGCCCTCAAATTCGAGCAATTTCCCAACAATTTCATGGTGATTTGAGCATTGGAGGATCACTACAATTTCAAGTAAAATGGATGGTCCAATCGCTGGCGACATGGACTCCGGTGATCGAGCAGTCAAAAATTTGAAATTTGCTGGCGGCGTCGCTAAGGAGACCTACTCTACCGATGAGGAGGTCCATCTTACCAATAAATCCATCAATTTAGTTCAGGAACAGACTCATGATGAAATTCCGCCAAGCTTAGATAGAACTATAACCAATCCACATTTTAAGCTTGAAGAGCTCACATACAGAGCTGAAGACAAACAGCAGGGGACCTATACCCATGACCATGCAAACTCTAATGGTCAAAAACAAGAACAACACACAATGGATGAGCAAGGCATGGAAAAGCAATCGGAACAAGGAAATAATGAAACAAGGAAGAGCCAAAATGATCAGCATGATCCTACAAATCTTACAACTTTGGACGTGGTTGATGTGGAGAGCTCATCACATTTTTCCTTTGGAGTTAAAGCAGTGGATACACAGGGGCAACAGGCAATAAGCACCAAGTCGCAAACCAAAAATCCAAGTGAGCAGGAACAGAGCAGGAGGGACAGTAAATCCTAACAACAGGCTGAACAAAGTAATGAGAAAAACATGAATCTTACCTGTGTGGACACAACAAAGAATGACCATTGAGGGAAAGCTTATGAGAATACAGACTTGGACTCCTAATTTTCGACCTGAGGAGGAAACCCCCATTGTTCCTATATGGGTATTACTGCCAGGACTACCATGGCATTATTTCAAGAAAGAGTTTATCTCACCTCTGCTTGAGTCTGTGGGTAAAGTTCTATACCTAGACACAACATCCATTAAAAGAGCAAGAGCCAGCATGGCCAAGGTAAAAGTTCAAGTGGACCTTACCAAGACAACACCTAGACATGTTTGGATTGGTTTGGATGATGAGGATCTCACCATAGGGAGATGGCAACCAATCGAATATGAAAATATCCCCCTATACTGTTCATACTGCAGGCATCAAGGTCACATGATAGATGAGTGTAACTTCAAAATAAGGGATGAAGAATTCAACAAAAGGAAGGAGTTAGAAACAGAAAAGAAAAGCATAAATAAAACAGAGCAGGGACAACAAGGGAATGAAAACAGACAAACTAGGATAAAGGAACAAGAGGAGCAACAATAACAAAACAACAGGGAAGGAAGCAATCAATAACAACCTGAACAACAAAAAGAAGAGGAATGGCAAGTACATAAAAGGAGAAACAATAAACCACAAGAAGAAAAAATACATAAAATAATATGGAGGCCAACTTCACCTCAGAACAGGCTGACAAAAAAGCAACCACAACACACAACTCAACAAACAGGTACAACTAACATCTCTAGTCATAACTCTTATACTAATCTTACCATGCAGGAAAAACAAAATGCAGACATGCAGGAGCCTAACAGTGATGTAGGGACATCAGCACAAGGAGCACAAAACAGATCTAAAACAGATCATACTCAAAGAACTCAGGTCAGCCAAACAGGAAACAAAGTAAATAACAAGGGCACATGTATTGACTCAATGCTCCAAATTCCCACAATCCCCATTATTCCCTATCTTGATGGTGTTATTGAAGTTGAAAGAGGGATGGATAGGGGGTGTCAGGAGAGACAAACTAACATGCAGGAAGGGGTGTCTAAAGGGGGGAATTTGTCTCATGTTCTGCATGAGGGTACTCACATTGACCATAGTTCAGACCTTAGAACTTCTGCTACCACTACAGGCCAACAACATAGTCTAAACCATCAACAGGTGCAGCAACAAGAACAAATAGGGCAAAGAATCAGGATAATACAAAAAATAACAAGGAAAAATAGCAAGTGGAGGGAGGAACAGCAGGTAAAAAAAACAAGGGATCGATGGAAAAGATATGGGATCCAATGCAAGTACTAGCAAACAAGGAAACACTCCCATAAGCAAGAACAAACCTAGCAAAAAAAAAAAGAAGCAGCAAAAAAGATACAGAACACACAATAGGATAGTGATCAGCAGAGGGAACAACAAAGGAATGGGGAAGCTTGCAAGAAGTTTATTATGGTAGATGAACAGTTGGGCATGGATATTACTCCCTTACAGGCACAATACATGACCCCTCCTCACAATGTCCCTCCTGATAAAATGTCTGAAAAGTGCCAGGTTAACAAAAGTCCTATGATTGATGAATATGCTATGGACAACTCAGAAGATGAAATTGATGGGGATAATCAATCCCTCAAGGATCTTGATGAGGATGATGAGACTAGTGAGTTGCTGATTAGAGCTTTTAGTCCACACCATGATAAAGGCCTTGAGGATGAGATTCAACAGGTGGCTAAAACTCAAGGATTATCTCCCAGAGGAATACACCATGATAGATTCCACTTCAAAATTTAAGACACCAACACTGTCATTGCTGGCAGACCAAACACTAGGCTTTTACTTCCTAGATCATCTCAATGATTAGTACACTTATTTGGAATGTAAGGGGGATCAATACTCAAGGAGTTCTGGAAAAACTCAAAATGCTCAAGAAGATGCACCATCTTTCTATCATTGCCATCTTGGAACCTTTCTCAGACACTATCCATGTTCAAGTTTTAAAAATCAATTAGCTATGGATCAGGCTGTAAGTAATTGCAATGGAAAAATTTGGCTCTTTTGGAATATGGACATTGACTGTGTAGTACTAGAGGAGGATGAACAACAAATAACTTGTGACATTGGCCATAATGAACTTTAGACTCATTTCACCTCTACCTTTGTGTATGCCAAGTGTAAGGACCATCTTAGAAGGCCTCTATGGGATAGAATGTTGCAACATGCTGTTGTAAATACCAATCCTTGGTGTTCAGTAGGTGACTACAATGTCATTACTTCCATTGAGGAAAAGCTAGGAGGAGTACCTTATAACATGAGGAAGAGTCTAGAGTTCATTGTTGTGATTGAAGCTTGTGGACTCATGGATTTAGGCTTCAGTGGGCAGAAGTTTACTTGGTCTAATAAAAAGGGTATTCATCATAGAATTTGGAAAAGGCTGGACAGAGCCCTTATTAATGATGCTTGGTTGGAAAAAATGCCTCAAACTACCATCACCCATCTATCATCAGTAGGATCAGACCACTGTCCCTTACTGATGGAAATGGTTGCTAGAGAAGAGGATCAAATCAGATACTTTAAATTTCTCAATTGCTGGACTGACCAACCTAACTTTCTTGACACTGTTAAAGCTTGCTGGGAAAGAACTGTGGAGGGTAACAACATGTGGAGATTTCATCAAAAATTGAAAAGGCTGTCCAATACTCTTAGCTCTTGGTCGAGAAGGGAATTTGGTGATATTTTCTCTAAGGTCAAGGACTATGAGGATAAGGTCAGGGTTGCTAAAGAGCATCTTATTCAAGATCACAATGAAAACAACAGAGCAACACTTCATGAATTAAATGCAGAGTACATCAGATTTTTGAAAATGGAGGACTCCATTTTGAAACAGAAAACTCAATTACAGTGGCTCAAGGAAGGTGATGCTAACACCAAATATTTTCACTCACTGATAAGAGGCAGGAGAAGAAAATTGTTTATTCACAAAACTACCAGGGATAATGGGGAATGGATACAGAGAGATGAAAAAATTGCAGAGGCTGCATGTGAGCATTTCCAAAATATTTTTACAGGTGTGGATAAGGTTATCAATGAGAATGCTATCAATTGTATCCCTAGGATGGTCAACCTAGTGCAAAATAATAGTCTTACTACCATGCCCACTCTAGAAGAATTGAAGGAAGTGGTTTTCTCTATGAATCCTAATTCAGCAGCTGGTCCTGATGGGATGAATGGCTATTTTTTTCAAAAATGTTGGGATATAATTAAGCATGACCTCTTTGGTGTCATTCAAGCTTTCTTCTGTGGCCAAATGATCCCTAAATATTTTTCTCACTCTTGTATTGTCCTCCTCCCTAAGGTGAACAATCCAAACAAATTCACTAAGTTCAAACCCATTAGTTTAAGTAATTTCACTAGAAAAATCATTTCTAAACTGTTGAGCTACAAACTTGGTCCTATTCTACCTAGTTTGATTTCCCTCAACCAATCTGGATTTGTCAAAGGGAGCATATCAGAAAACATTATGTTGGCCCAAGAGATTTAATTAAGAAGCCTAATATTGGGAGCAATGTGATCATTAAGTTGGATATGGCTAAAGCATATGATAGGGTTTCTTGGTCCTATATATGCTTGGTCCTGAGAAGAATGGGGTTTGAAGAAGTCTTTATTGACATGGTTTGGAGGATTATGGCTAATAATTGGTACTCAATTATAATCAATGGCAAAAGATATGTTTTTTTTCATTCCACTAGAGGTCTCAAGCAAGGGGATTCGTTATCTCCCGCCCTATTTATTTTAGGTGCGGAGGCCCTTTCTAGATCTCTGAACGGTCTCCACAACAATCCGAATTATCATGGTTTCTTCATGGAACCCAGAGGTCCCCAAATGAATCACTTAAGTTTTGCAGACGATATCATTCTCTTCACTTCTGGAAGACAAAGAACTCTAAAACTCATTATGCAAACTTTGAAGTCTTATGAGGAGACTTCAGGCCAACTTGTTAACATAGACAAGAGTCACTTTATGATCCACACTAATGCATTCAATAGCACAGGGGATAGAATCAAAAGAATCACTGGTTTCAAACAGAAGGAGGGCCCTATCACTTACCTTGGTTGTCCTTTATTTGTTGGTCGACCTAGGATTATATATTTTTCTGATCTTATTAACAAAGTGTTGTGCAGGATTACAGGTTGGCAAATAAAATTATTGAGCTATGGTGGTAAATTAGTCCTAATCAAGCATGTAGTGCAATCATTACCTATCCATCTCCTTTCAGCAGTGACTCCACCAGTTACTGTCCTAAACAGATTCAATGTATCATGTCAGACTTTTTCTGGGGATGGAGGAATGAGAGGAAAAAATATCATTGGGCGTCATGGAAGAATTTAAGCTTTCCTGATGATGAGGGAGGTGTTGGTATGAGGAATCTCAAAGATGTTTGCAAGTCATTCCAATATAAACAATGGTGGATTTTTAGATCCAAACGAACACTTTGGGGAGATTTTTGAAGGCCAAGTATTGTCAAAGATCTAATCCTATTAGTAAAAAATGGGATACAGGTGAATCTTTGACTTGGAAACATCTAATGCACAACAAACACAAAGTGGAATCACACATTCAATGGAAACTCAACTCGGGCATCTTCTCCTTTTGGTGGGATAATTGGCTTGGTGTTGGACCTCTTGCTCAATTCTCTGCTGATAGTAATAGATTCAACAATACTACTGTAGCAGAATTTTGGCATGAGGGACAGTGGAACTAGAGTATGCTCATCCAGCAGGCACCCAACAGTCAATTAACCAACATCATATCCACAGAGCTTCACATTCAGCAAGATCTCCCAGACCAGGCGATCTGGAAACTCAGCATTGATGGCAAATTCAGCTGCTCCTCTGCATGGAATACTATCAAGGAGAAGAGAATCAAGACTAGATTCAACTCCTTCATTTGGCAGAAGAGTATCCCTTTTAAATCTTCTTTTCTTTTGTGGAGAACTTTAAGAGGTAAACTCCCTACTAACGAGAAACTAACCAGTTTTGGCAGTGAACCAGCCAGTTGTTTTTGTTGTTGTAATAGGCCAGGTATGGATACAATCGAGCACACCTTCAACAATGGTCACTTTGCTACCTACGTGTGGAAAAGCTTTGCTGCAAATGCTGGAATTATAACAGATCACAGCTCCCTACTTCAACTCATCATGCAATGGTGGTCAGCTAAATACAATAATGAAGCACATAGGCTGTTATTACAAGCTACACCAATATTCATTTGTTGGAACCTATGGAAAAATAGATGTGCTAGCAAATATGGAGGAAAGCAATCCAATGTTAGTAGAGTCAAATATGCAATCTATAAGGACAATTACAAGCTCATGACTACAACCTTCTCTCAAATCAAATGGCCTTCGAACTGGAGGGACCTGATTCAGCTTGGGGAAAAATGTGTGCATGATACCAAAGTGACCCTTGTTAGGTGGATAAAACCTCCAAATCAGTGGGTAAAAATCAACACGGATGGCAGTGCATTAGCTAATCCCAGTAGAACTGGAGCAGGAGGTATATTAAGGGATCAAGACGGAGAAATGTTGATAGCATTTGCCACTTCATTAGGGGAAGGTACTAACAACCAAGCTGAAGTAGAAACAACTATCTTTGGGATGACCTAGTCCTTAGAATTAGGATACAGGGAAGTTCTTTTGGAGGTGGACTCACAACTTCTGGTGGACTGGATAATGCACAAAACCAACCCTCATTGGAGTATCAACACACAAATAATGAAGCTGCAGGCTCTCATTAAACAAACACACGAGTTTAGATGCAAACACACCTTCAGAGAAACCAATTTTGTTGTTGAAAACACATCCACAAGATCACTAGCCCTCAACTTTATTTCAATAGTCATCAACTACCAAAGGAAGCAAGAGCTTACTATCAACTAGACATGCATGAAATGGCAAATTTCAGACGAAGGAAGATTAAGAAGATCAAAGAACACCCTAAGTAAAATGCAACCTTTTGAACTTAGCTATAGTTAAAAATTATAGCTCATTTGAATAGGTATAGTTTTTTGTTTACTTTGGTAAAGGGAGAGTCTCCCTTGTTTATGATTCCTAGATTCTATGTATTGAGAGGAGTCCTCTCTTTTAGCTACTTAGTTTCTTGGCTTATCCTTTTGTAAGGGGATGAGTTGACTATCCCTTGTGGAAGGTCGACTACTGAGCCACCATAGGTCCGTAGGTTAGGTTTATATCCCCCTCCTTGTACTTTTGCTTTTATTTAAGATAAGGCCTAGGGGTATTGCTCAGTGTCACGTCCCAAATCCCATTAAGACGGACAGACACCCGATGCCCTCTAGGCCCGAGAGAGCCAACATGTAACCTGTGCTTACTATGCATATAACTATGACAATCTTGTGACAAGTTCACATAGGATGCAGCGATACGAACCAACATAAGTAGACCCAAAATTTATATACAAGACTTGGCCGTTGAGGCCACAACTTGTTAAGACGCAACTGAACCATAAACATAAGTCTACAAAGCCTCTAAAGGATAAAACACCTTTGAGTAGGTTGGGACAGACCCCTCCTTACTCTTCACTACGATACAATACCCAAAATGAATCTACCAAAGACTCAGTAAAGCTCTGAATCAATTTGGAGCTCACCAAAAGTAGCTGAGTGTCATGTGCTCCTACCGAAGAGGTCTACTAGCTAAAGTACTTGTGCCTGCAGCATGAAATGCAGCGTCCCCCACGAGGGACGTCAGTACGAGAAAATGTACTGAATATGTAAGGCAATAACATATATAAAATAAGAGTTTGAATGAAACCAAGTATCAATATATGTGTGCATAAATCAGAACAGAAGACCACCTTTGTTAACTCTTGTGGGATCATGTATGTTACATTCTTGTCTTTACCTTTCTGTGTGTTATGATCTTTATAACGCATGTGATACGAATGACGAGCTGATCAGTGGTAGAAGAGGATGACCCATGCTAGGCATTTTAACCCCTGGGATGCGGTCTTCATAATTACACAAATTGGGATCTGCTCATGCTAGGCTTACGCCCCTGAGCTGCCACCCTTCTACACCAATTGGGATCGGCCCATGCTAGGCTTCCGCCCCTTAGCTGCCACCCTTATTATACAGATATCTTTACTTAGATTCTTTAATCTTTGAGATTGTTGTTTTGGTTGTCATAATCATTTTTTATATTTGGAACTACGGACCAGTAGTAGAAGACATGAAAATAATACTTCAAGGCAGTAACAATGACATAAGGAGCTATGTAACATCAATGCATTACTTGTGAGCTTAAATGACACAATTGACCAAACTTGCTTTTACAAATACCATCTCTATACCAGCACATAGGAGGATATTTACACAAGTATAGAGTACTAAACATATAATGAAGTAATTCTATACACTATGGAGATGGGGAAAATATTGTTAGCTATTTGGAGATCATACGCTGCCACTATGTTTCCTTTACTAGGAATAGAACTTAGGAAATTCACTTATTGATATTAATCTCAAGTATCAGATTTCGTGCCGAAGAATATTGAATCGAATAGCCTTACATATATTATCTTCTGATCAATACAACTATCACGATTCAGCCTCCCCTTTCAGGTTTTAATCTACAATATATGTCATGATAAATTTAAATTAGCAGCTATCACACCGTGAGCCTCGTAAAACAGTAGCTAACTTTGACAGATAATGAACTCATACAGCCCTTAATACAATGTGTATCACCATACCCTCCTTCTCTGCCCAATACATACATTATATATCCTTTTCCAAGATTACCCAAGCTGCACCAACAACAATACACATAAAACAACCTCAAGTATTCTTTATCATACAACCAATTAATGAACTCACCACCCCCTTGAGTTCTTTATGACAGCACACCCATAATTCCTCACTCAAACTCATACATAAAGAGGAAGAAAATGGAGTAGTCACCTTACCTTAATTTCTGCAACTTCTTCTTATAACTTGAATTCCTCTAGAACTTCAACTTCCCTTCACACTTAAACCAAAGAAGAAGAGAAAAGTATCTTATAAACCAAGGAAGTGAGCAGTAGCTTCTGGAAATATTATGCCTTTATACCTATACTTGAGCATGAATAACATGTTTTCCTAATCATCCATGTCATAATGTTTTAATAGCTCCAGCCATCTTCGCTGCCTCAGATTTAGGCCCTTTTGCTTAAGGATATATTGCAAACTCTTGTGATCAGTGTATAGCTCAACATGAATTCCATACAAGTAGTGGCGCCATATCTTCAAAGCAAATACAACTGCTGCTAGTTCTAGATCATGAGTTGGATAATTTTTCTCAGGTGGCCACAGCTGCCTTGAACCATAAGTTATTACTTTACCATTCTGCATCAATACACATCGTAGGCCCACTCCCGAAGCATCACAATACACTGCATACCCTTTTGTTCCTTCTGGAAGTACCAATACAGGTGTAGAAGTTAATTTATTCCTCAACTGTTGGAAGCTTCTTTCACATTCATCACTCCACTGAAATTTGGTTTCTTTGTGTGTTAGCTTTGTTAAGGGTGCAACAATGGAAGAGAATCTTTCAACGAACCTTCTGTAATAACCTGCCAATCCAAGGAAACTACGAATCTCCGTTGGCGTGTAGGTCTTGGCCAGTTTTTCACAGCTTCTATCTTCTGGTTATCAACCCTTATTCCTTCATCGGATACAATATGACCTAAGAATGCCACAGATTTTAACCAAAACTCACATTTAGAGAACTTTGCATACAACTTACGATCACGAAGAATTTGTAAAACCTGCCGCAGGTGATTAGCATGGCCCTCTTCCGATCTTGAATACACCAAAATGTCATATATGAATACTATTATGAACACATCTAAAAATGGCTTGAACACCCTATTCATCAAATCCAGAAAAACTGTTGGTGCATTCGTTAGCCCGAATGACATGACTAAAAACTCAAAATGACCATACCGTGTTCAGAAAGCTGTCTTGGGTATATCTTTGTCTTTGACCCTCACTTGGTGATAACCTAACCTCAGGTCGATTTTTGAAAAACACCTAGCACCTTGTAACTGATCAAACAAATCATCAATTCTAGGGAGGGGATATTTGTTCTTAATCGTTACCTTATTCAACTGTCGGTAGTCGATACACATTCTTAAAGAACCATCTTTCTTACGTACAAATAAAACTGGTGCTCCCCATGGGGACATACTAGGCCTTATGAATCCTTTATCTAATAAGTCTTTTAATTGCTCCTTCAACTCCCGTAAATTCTGCCGGGGCCATTCTATATGGAGGGATGGATATAGGTTGAGTATCTGGAATCACATCAATACCAAACTCTACTTCTCGTTTTGGAGGTAAACCCGGAAGATCTTCAGGAAATACATCAGGAAATTCATTTACCACTGGAATTGATTGAAGAGATGGTGGCTCAGCATCTATATTTTTCACTCTCACTAGATGACATATGTATCCTTTGGACATCATCTTCTTTGCCTTAAGATAAGAAATAAATTTACCTCTTGGTGTCCCAATATTACCTTTCCATTCAAGGATGACCTTTTTTAGAAAATGGAAATGCAGCATCTTAGTTCGGCAATCCACCGTGGCATAACAAGAAGTTAACCAATCCATACCCATTATTACATCAAAATCCACCATTTCTAGCTCAACAAGGTCAGCTAATGTATCACGATCACAAACAGTTACAATACAATTACGATAAAG